AGCGAAATGTATTTTATTAAATAACTCTGCGAGTTTTCAACATTTTTCGTTCAAACTTGGTCAGATAGTAGAACCAGTCTAATGCTTTCATTGAAACCAATAAAAAAATTTTAGGCAAAATTAACACTCAAAGGTGTTCTGTAACCTTAAGCAACAGAGAATACTAACTTCAGGAGTTATCCAATTCATAAGAAAATGAGTAGGTACAGGATCCATCAATAACAATACCCTTAATAATAATAATGTATATATTTAACGTGACACGAACCATGGGACAAATATGTTCGCGCGTATTCTAGTTCCCAGGGCTTCTCGAGAAGCCCTGGGAACGAGGGTGATTTGCGCACGAAACATGAGGATGTTAGCGGATACACTGGGTAGATCTATGTTTTATCCGTAAAAATCCCTTAATCCCGCGATCTTCCTATTCCAGAATTTTTCATTCTTCTTCACCGCTCGCAGAACAGCCGCATGGATGATCAACGCGGGCTCTTGGATCAGAAAAATGTCGAATTGCCAGATTTTCTGAAAATACAAGAAGCACCGAAAATCCGGAAAAACCCTCTTTTAGTTGGCGTCCCCTCCCCCCGGCCAGCACATCACCCATTGAAAAAGACCAACTCTTCCCCACCGAGTTATGCTGCTTGGGTCAGCAAGCAACAAGGTAATAGACCAGCGGTTATTTCTGAAGAGTCCCGCGAGACGCTCTCGAGGTTTAAACGAAATTGGTCTGGCACTGCGCACGGCCGCGGTAAGGTTCACGTTGAAACGGTCACTGAAACACAAACCATAGACCGGAGAAGATTTTTTAAACATTCTCAAAATGAAACCGCTGGTCGGTTACGAGCAGGATCGCTGCCGTATACTCATCCTGATGACCGCTGCGGTGATACCGCAGGCGGCAATGAGTTGAGAACGCGGACTCGCTATCACTACGAAAGCGAAACTTCGTTAAATAATAACAATACTGAAGTCGTGTGGGTCTCAAACACTCTGAACAAGAATCGTGTTCGTGCCTCAACTAAAACGGATCCTTCGAGAGACGCTGGTTACGAAAGTACGACAGATGACGAAGGTGTTTCTCGGAATTTTCCGAAAGCCGAAGTGATTATTCCTCAAGGAAATACGAATACTGATCGGCTTGCTATTTCGGGAAGTGTCGTACCTGTCCGTGACATGTCGACCCCGGGAAGCCCATATTTTCGCGAAAATATGGCGACTGCTAAACGGCATGTGCGCACACTCGCTGAGCAGTCGACAACTCGCGACGTGACTTCGGGTAACGATCGTGAAGCGATTCTTGATAATTCATTTTTAAAGGACCAACTCAAGCCTTCGCGATTATTTTCTCAAGTTTCGCCAAAGCTGCATTCTTCTCTTGTCGCTTCCTCGCCAAATGAAACGAATGGCACCCCCATGAAATGTCCGCTGTTCGTTCCCCCCGGAAATTCCTATTCAGTGGGAGAAACTGAAACAGGAAATTCGTTTAGAACACATGAAAATCACGTGGAATCCACTAGTATGGAACGCCGAGTTTGTTGGGAAGCGAATGAACAAACGAACGAAGAAGGAAATGTGCGAGTCACGTTTGTGTGAAGTTTGCGTGGAAACATGTTGAAACACGCGAGAATTTCGAACCCATCACACGCGTGATGTCCTTTTGGAATTTTCCTTTGCATATGACGTCATCTTGCTTGATTCTAAACATTACCAGCCTAGACCTCGGCCTTCTATAAGTTCTATTTTTAAGGACCAGTTCATTTCGCTTATGACGTCATACTTACCAAATGCTAGCCCAAAATTGACCACACCTGCCAAGCTACCCGTCACGCTTTATTTATTCCTTTGTAAAAACAGTTTACCTAACCGTACTATGTAAAGCTTCTGTTGCATGTCACGACAGCCTCTGACGTAGAAATTTACCCTTTTCAAATAAAGTTTATTTATTCATTCTGACAAGAAGAATATTTTGCCCTCAGATTGTAGGCTATAGCTGTCTTGAAATCCAACAAAAGCTTTATTTTCAAATTCGCGGCCAACGAATAGACTCCTAAAATTTCTTCCGTTCTATAAACAATCTTGCGTTAGTCTGTGACTTGGTAAGAATGAAGTTTATGTGTCTTTTGAAAATCAAACAAGATGGCGTCGATTGCAACATGCAAATATTGAAGTTTGATATACAGTAGGTCATTCTGGTTAAAAATATGCGAAAGTTTGCCGTTTTCGAAGAAAAGGATTGATAAATAATAGTTGAGGATTTGCACGATATTTTGTGTTGTTAGAGATCTTTATGATGCATTTAAGAAAAATATTTTTAAAAGTCTATTAAAAGTACAAATTTTATTTTCTAGATATAATCTGTAACACATATAGTATTTTGTTTTGTAATATAATATCTGAAATATTTTGTATATAAAATGTAAAATTATGCTATATATATATATATAAGTATTATATGAAATAAACAATACAAATTTTGGTACATTACATGTGGTTAATGCTTTTCCTTATCTGGTGGTTTAATGGACCATTTGCATTATAGACTAAATTTTGATCTAGACAAAAATTTCATCACAGTTTGAAAGAGCATCACAAAATTAGTAATATTTCAAAGTTTCGTTGCGAAATGTTGTAAAATGCGGATAATATAGCCATGCGAAGTTTGCCGTTTTTCAGTCATTTTGTATTACGCACGGGAAATTGACAG